TAATATTTTAATGATTTTTATTTGACATTTATTTAGTTCTATACTTTTAAATTAGTCTTTTCTCTACATCAGATAAAGATCATTTTATATTTTATTGAAATTTATCTTGTCTCAATACTAATGGAACATATCTTTTCAATACTTGACACATCTTATGATCTTGTCTCAGAAAAGCTTATTGTTATAATTACCCATTATTTGTTTTCTTTAAAACATCTTTATTGGGATATAATCCACATCACATGCAATTTATCATTCAGAGTATACAGTTCAGACCCGTAGTATATTTTACATCCATCATTATAACTTCACTTGGTATGCTTTTTTAAATTATTAATTATTTTATTTATTTACATCCCAAATGTTGCTCCTCCTCCCAGTCTCCCCTTGAAGAGTTCTTCCCCCCCTTCTTCTCCCCTTCGCTTGAGAGCCCCCCCCCAACCTCCCTTCTTGAGGCATCAAGTCTATAGGATTAGGCCCATCCTCTTCCACTGAGGCCAGACAAGTCAGTCCTCTGCTACATATGTGCCAGGGGCCATGGACCAGCTCATGTCTGCTCTTTGGTTGGTGGCTTCATCCCTGGGAGCTCCCAGGGGTCCAGGTTAGTTGATATTGTTGGTCTTCCAATGGGATTGTCATCCCTTTCAGTTCTGTCTCAGTCAGCTCTGGAACTCTGAGGACAGCCATGCTAGGCTCCTGTCTGTACACACACTATGGCATTAGTAATAGTGTCAGGGATTAGTGCCCACCTATGGGATGGATCCCAAGTCAGGTCCATCTCTAGTTGGCCATTCGTTCAATCTCAGCTCCATTTTTGTCCCTGCATTTCTTTTAGACAGGAACAATTTTGGATGGAAAGTTTTGTAGGTGGATTGGTGTCCCCATCCCTCCACTTTGGGTCCCGTCTGACTACTGGAGGTGGTCTCTTCAAGTTCCATCTCCCAACTGTTGGGCATTTCAGCTAAGGCCACCCACATTGAGTCCTGGGAGCCTCCCCCATCCCAGGTCTCTCGGACTTTCTAGAGGTTCTCCCACGCCCCCACCCCTGGAAGCTGCATATTTTTGTTCATTCTCCCATAACCTCATGCCCTTATGCAGTCCATCTTTATTCTCCTCTAGTTTTACTCTTTCCTAACTCCAAGTAACCACTTGTCAGAAAACAGAAGTATGCCAAATGTAGTTACAGATCCGTTTAGGTTTAATTTGAAATTCATTAACCCCGTTCTATATGAGCATGTCCACCTGACATTAGCTGAACAGTGGGTTTTGTAAGATTGAAACAAACAACAATACTGAAAAAAAGCTGATGAGTTAATATCAGGTTACATTCTTTTTAAGTTTCTTTTTCAGTGTGTGTATGCATGTAGGTTTGTAGGTGAAGGAGGGAGGAGGGAGAGAGAGGAAAGAGGAAGGAGGGAAGGAGAGGAGAGGAGACAAAAGAATTGGTACTTCATAGAGACCCAAAGAGAGTGATAGGGCCCCTGGAGCTGGAGTTACTTGATGTGGGTGCTGGAAAATGAACTTGGGTCCTCTGGAAGAGCAGCGAGTACTGTTAACCCCTGAACCATTTCTCCAGCTCCAGGTTACTCTTCTGTAAAGGTTAAAGTCTTATTATAAGAGATAGGTTGAAATCTCTTTTCAGGATAGATTGATCTGTTTGGGGCATTTATTTCCTTCCTTAAAGTTTCAAATTGATTATGTGACATTGCGTAAAGGCAGGGAGGTAGGGTAGATTCTGGGTGTCTTCCTCTATTACTCCAACTTATTTAACCTGGAGCTCATCAGTTCTCCTAGAGCCAGTGAGCCCCAAGGCTCCACCTGTCTGTCTTCCCTTCTCCCACCCCAGCACTGGGTGATATAGGCACATGCCTCCATCCCTGACTTTTTATGTGAGTGATGGGAATCTAAACTCAAATTCTCTGTGTTCGTGTAGTAAGCAACTTACCATGGTCTGTCTATCTAGCCTGGATGATGTGGATTCAACAGGAGTGACTCCATTTTGGTTTAATAGTCTGTTCTTTTGGGGTCCAGTAAAGGAACTCAGTTCAAAACAGTAGCCCCCTATAATGATTCTGCTTTTTGTCTATAAATTTACTTATTCTAAAAATTGAATGTGAGTGGAGTTATGTGTTCATTTGTAACTGGCTCTTTTGACTCAGCAACCATTCATATTTCACTCATATTGCAGAATGTTCTAGTAAGTACTTCATTTTGTTGTCAAATAATACTCCTCTGGAGCAGAATTGCTAAGACATACTTTATATTGTAACTTTTTAAGCAACTGTCAAACTATTCTCCAAAGTGACTATACCATTTTACGACTTAATAGTAATGCATGAAAACTCCAATTTCTCCGTAGCCCTTAAAAGGTTCTTTGTAAAAAATTATAGACAGTCTAGTGAGTGAGCTTGAAGTGGTTTGGGTTTGTATTAGTCTCAGGTTAGTAACAAGTGCAACCATGTGCATGTGGTGCCCATTGAAGTCAGAGAGGCCTTGATCCTTTGCAATTGGAGTTGACAAGTAGTTTTAAGCCTCTGAGTGAGTGTTAGGAATGAAACCCAGGCCGGGCGGTGGTTGCGCACGCCTTTAATCCCAGCATTTGGGAGACAGAGGCAGAGGGATTTCTGAGTTCGAGGCCAGCCTGGTCTACAGAGTGAGTTCCAGGACAGCCCGAGCTACAAGAGAAACCCTGTCTCGAAAAACCAAAAAAAAAAAAAAAAAAAAAAAAAAAGAAATGAAACCCAGGTCTTCTGCAAGAGCAGTAAATGGTCTTAATTCCTGATCCATCTCTCCAGCCACTTTTACCTATTTAAAAATTGTGTTATTTTATGTTTTATTGTTATATTGTAACTTTTTCTTCCTCCTAAATACGTGGTTTTTATCAAATACATTTGAAAGTATTTTCTTTTATTCTGAGAAATGTTTCATGTGATGGTACCCTTTAAAATACAAAAATAATTAATACTTTTGGGGTTTTTGTTTGTTTTATCTCTGTGCTAGGACCTATCTCAGGACCTGTACCAGTTAGACAAGTGCTCTACCACTGAGCTAGAGGCCAGCTTTTTGTGGGTCTAATTTTATAAGTAATTTTTCTTTTGGTACTTAATCATAATAAGGTATAATTTAGTCTAGGACAAGATTTAATTTTTTTATTTTGAGTTTTGTAGGGTTTTTTCATATATCTCACATTTAATAATATGACTGTTTTGAGTCAATTTTTTTTGTTATACATTGTGTTATTTTTAAAACATTTTGAAGTCATATGAAAAATGTAGAATGATTTCTAGAAGATTTTCTAAGAGCTCTGCTTTCTGGTTTTTGACTCCTGATCTGATCTTCAGCATACTTGCCTGGAGTCTAGGTCTCCAGCTGATAACAGAGTTTTCTCTGCTTGTTGGGGAAGTCTGAGGCAGTTCAGTCTCTGAGCAGATGAGGGCAGTAGCGCTTTAGTGAATGAGAATTCATACTATTCTAAAAACAGCATTTTAAAGTTATAGATTTTGTTAATGTGTTTAACCTGTCTTATTTTTGGTGATAGGTTATTAGGCACTAAGTTTAAAGTCTTTTTAAACATTCTTTAATATTTAGATTTAGGAGCTTTCTTTCTCTACCCTCATAAATGATGAGGATCATAGTTACCAGTTTATGATTACCACTCATAAGATGTGACTATGATCTGGAGATCAGTGTCTCCAAACTTAGGACATAATTTTCTCAAATTTTCATGGTGCATTTTTCCATTTCTCTTTTATCATTTCATTGCTACTTGTGCTCTTTGAATAGTGATAAAGTAACACCTAATATGCTGGTAAATGCTAAAACTATTATCTAGCTTATTCTAGAGACAAAGTGGCAGGTTTCAGTCTCACTATGGGGATGGACAATATAGAAGTTAGACACATGGATAATACCCTTTCTTTTCTTTAATAATAAGAATTTTTATATCATCTCAGAATTAGACCTGGTGTCCTTTATAGAACTGAATATTAAGTAAGCATGGATTAAGTGGTTCTTTTATTCTGTTATGGTTGTTTTCAACATAAGGAAAGACAGTCAGGAGAGATGGCTCAATGAGTACTGGCCGTTCTTCCAGAGGGCCTTGATTTGATTCCCAATACACACAACTATCTATAACTATACTTCCAGAGGATCTGATGCCCTATTGGCACTAGACATGCACGTGATACATGAACAGAAATACAGGCAAAACATTCATACACATTTTTAAAGGAAAGAAATAACAAATATTGAACTTTTTGTTTGTTTGTTTGTTTGCTTGTTTTTGAGACAGGGTTTCTCTGTGTAGCCCTGGCCGTTCTGGAACTCACTCTGTAGACCAGGCTGGCCTCGAACTCAGAAATCCACCTTCCTCTGCCTCCCAAGTGCTGGGATTAAAGGTGTGTGCCACCACTGCCTAGCAATATTGAACATTTATTGTTTTTGTTTTACCACCGTGGTCATAAGTATTTTATGTATATTGTCTTCTAATTTTAAATAATTCTTCCTGAAAAGTAAGTAACGCTGTTTTGTTTTGTTTTCCTACAGTTTCCAGAGAGGGAGACACATTAGGAAAGTAAAAATTTAACTAAGCTCACATTAGGTGGTGAAGTCAATATGTGTGGTCATATTCGATGGCAGTATTCTATTCTGCATAGTACATTTTACAGAAATGATATATCTATATGCATCACTCTGCAACTCATTTTTGTTTTAAATCCAACAGTATTTTGAAAATCTCCTTCTTGATTCTTACTGTATAGAGATAATTTGGCCAATTGTTTTACCTCATGAGCATATTTAACTGAGCTATGAAAACTGGCTGCCAGGAAACCTCTAACTTGAGCCTTACTTGGCTTTTCCACTAGAGGGTGTAACAAATGTTTCTTTTTTGTTATTGCTATTAAATATAATGTGTTTATTTCTCCTTATAATTATCAGAGGGAAATATTTATTGCATATAATTGGTATAGTACCCTTTCTGTTCTGTCTTTTTTCTGCAGGTTATTCATTTTTGGATCCTATGACAGAGAAACAAATGTTCATTGTACACTTGAGCTGAGCAGTGGTGTTTGGGAAGAAAAACAAAGGAGCTCTATTAAGACGGTAAAATGCACAGTTTTATATTTATGTAAGATTTATTGTATAGGTATGCCTTTATTAGTATTTCTGTATTTCTAGGTTTATTGATGGTCGTAAGTGAACAGTCATCTTTTTTTGCTAACAGAGCAGCATCAGTAGTAAAATAGACCACCTGGAACTGGTAATGAACAGACTGCCTAAGAAGCAGTCTGTTCTGCTTTCTTTTCAAAATGTCAACATTGTTTCAGTTAAGGAATCAGAAGTTATAATTTGTGCATGTGTGCAGGTGCACATGTGTGAGCCCACATGTAAAAAGCCAGAGCTCTGTGTAATTTCTTAGATGTCTTTTTTTTTCCCCCCAGATAGTCTCTCACTGGCCTGGAGCTCACCAAGTAGGTTAGATTGGCTGGTCAGCCAGCCCAGAAATCCACCTGTCTTTTCTCCTTTCTGGTGATACCATGCTTGACTTTAAAACACAAACAAACCAACAAACAAAAATAAACATGGATTCTGGGAAGTCTGACTTAGATTCCTCATGCTGAAAAGGCAAACCCTTTACTGACTGAGCTGTCATCCCAGCCCCTAGAAGGCATAATTTTCCTGAGTGCTTCAGATCCTTGTGGGTCCACATGTTTGTTTACTCAGCAGGATTTTTATCAAGAGTTATCAAGCGTTTTGCTGGGCACAGATTCTGATGCTGGAGAAACAGTTCAAGATAGAAGGCTACTGTTCCTGTGGGACTAGTGTCAACTAGAAGTGTGGTATGGTAGAAGACTGAGATGAAGGAGAAGAAGCTGTCAGTAAGCCTGAAAAGTGAGGATAGCTATCCCTGGAGCTTGACAGCTACTACTCTGAAGAAAGCAAAATGAGGGGGCTGGAGAGATGGCTCAGTGGTTAAGAGCACTGACTGCTCTTCCAGAGGATCTGAGTTCGATCCCCAGCAACCACATGGTGGCTCACAACCATCTGTAATGGGATCTGATGCCCTCTTCTGGTGTGTCTGAAGACAGCAACAGTGTACTCATATACATTAAATGAATAAATAAATCTTTAAAAAATAATTTTCAAAAAAAAAAAAAGCAAAACGAAAGTTGTGAAAATGATGCTCTTAGACCTTACTGACTATTGGACGCATCCTTAAATTTAAAACAGGCAGCATAGGATTTTCTTGGAAGAAATGGAGTAATTTTGACCTGAGTGGGAAATAGAAATGAAGTTAAACTGACAGAGGAGAATGGCTGACTCACAGAATTTGGCTATAAGCAAGGGACAAGAATTGTCGAAGATTGTAAATGTGACGGAAGAGAGGTTTAAGAATTCCTCCCTGTGTCTCTGTGTGTGTGTTAATATGAGGTGCCTTTGTCTGGCACCCACCCCCTTATGTTTTGAGACAGGGAATCTCATTGAACTTAGAGTTCCTGTTTTGGTTATGCTGGTAGGCCAGGGACTCTAAAGGACTTGACTCTCTGGGTCCCATCCTACCCCAACTCTCACCCCTGCCACTGGGGTTAGAGGTTAGCATTGATATGCCCACCATTCATTTAAGTTGCTTTTTTTCTTCAGACAGTTTCACTGTATTGCCCTGGCTAGCCCGGAACCCATTAATATAGATCAGGCTGGCTTGAACTCAGAGATCTGCCTGTCTCCACCTCCCAAGTGGCTGGCATTAAAGGTGTGTGTTACCACTCCCAGCCAGCTATGCACAGCATTTATGTGGAAGCTGCGACCCTAAACTCAATTTGTTATGCCTGTATAGTTATCCAATTAGCTATTTCTCTAGGCCAAAGAAGGTAGGCAGATAGAGTGCGCTCTCTCTCTCTCTCTCTCTCTCTCTCTCTCTCTCTCTTTCTCTCTCTCCATCCCTTCCTCTCTCCCTCCCCCCCCTTCTCTTTCTTTCTTCCTGGTTGTTATTCCTATACCAACTTTAAGGTTACATTTTCAATCAATTTGAGGTAGCATCTCCAAGGAATGAAATAACCAGTTTTAGAGTTTGTGCCAAAATGAATAACTCTATGAGAAAGATTATTGTTTTATCTGGTTAAATTTTGGCTTCACTTTGAGTTACTCATAACTTGCCATTGCTGCTGGCATTTTCAGTTTTCTTTATTTTATCTTCAAAGTTATGAGATTAGACATATTTAATATTTTATAGCAAAGGTTAGTAAGACCTTTAATTTTGAATTATTGTTTTAGATCCTAGCATATGTCATAGGCAGTTGTCAAGAAAGAATAATTTTACCAGGTGTTTAAAATGTCAACAACAGTGTGGACAACCAACAAACTGAAATTTTGTGAATTTAATCTAGGAAGGCAGAATTGAATCATAGTACAAGAAATTCGTGTGTTTGTGTGTGTATGTGTGTGTGTGCGCGCGTGCATGTGCACGTATGTACACACGTGCATATGCTTGTGGAGGCTAAAGGCCACTTCTATTACTATTCCAGGGCTGAAAAAACCTCTGTTATTATTCCAGAAAAAAAAAAAAAAAGCCCTTCTGTTTGTTCAGATGAGATCTCTCACTGGCCTGGAACTCACTGAGTAGGCTAAACTAACCCATTGGCCAATGAGGATTGAGCTCCAGAGATCTTCTCTCTGTTTCCAGCACTGGAATTACAAAGTATATGCCACCACGCCTAGGTGTGGTGGAGTTTTTGTTGTTGTTTTTTGTTTTTTAATGTGGGCAATGGGTGTCAAATTCACATTCTCCCATGTTTTCACTGTAAGCACTTTGCCAACTGGAGAATAGAAGTGAATGGCTTTTAGATGGCTAATTCACAAGAAAACAAACTTGTTTGATAGCTTTTTTTTTTTAAGTTAATAGAAATAGAGATAGTAGCAAAGACACTCCTGAAGTGAGTGTGTGCTAATGAGCTGGAAACAGCATATACTCAAAGCACTGGGCCAGCAGTCTCAGGGCCCTTTGTACATTACTCACCACTGTCTTCTCTAGCATTTGTCAGTCCTAGGGTGGTTTTTTGTTTACTCTGTTTCTTGCATGTAGCCCACATGGGGAAATGGTTCCTATGGTCTGCCACTGACTTTTTTGTTGCTGATCTTGATGCTGCTTTCTGCAGTTCCCTCTCTAGCCACAGCTCTCCCCCGATGAAATAACCATAGAATGGATAGGGAAATATTAGTGTTACCAACTGACAAGATGGTGAGGTAACTGGTAAATCCTACTAGGTAGGAAACTCAGTCTGTGGCACTGAGAAGGGAAGTCTATTGCTGCCAGCTACACAAGTATTAATAAGTTTCTTAGACTATTTTGTGACTCAGTGGCTGAATGTTCTTGAAGGAAAGAGGAGGCTAGTGATATCTAAGGTCTGATTGACAAAAATTATCATACTCTGTTGCTTGATTAAATCCCTGAGTGATTCCTTACTGCCCCATAGATAAGGACAGGCTGATATGGCCAGGAAAGGGACCTGATAAGCCTGGTCCCTTCATATTCCCTCCCGTTCTCAGCTTTAGTCATGCTAGCATTCAATACTTCTTACTGGCCTTATTCTGTACTATACCTCTCTGATGATTGTATATCCTTCCTAAATTGTCCTAAGGTTCTTTTTTGAAAACTGGCATGTGCTAACTCAGCTTGTTTTCCCACATACATCTATATTTTCCAGAGTTCTGCTTGTGCCATATCTTAGCTTATTTGCCCCTGTCCAGTTATATTCATGAACTTCTTTCCTATTCCATTCCTGGAGAGTCCCCTGTTATTTCAAGTTCTCAGTAGCTTTCAACTGTAGTTGATGGATGTGAAGCACTCTTGGGAAATGAGAGTAGACAGCAGAAACCAGGATATTCTTCCTCCTGGCAGCTGGTTTATCTTTCTTGGCCTACTCTTCTCACAGGACAAGCCACCATTCCAGTTTCCATTTGATGTTCAGCCCCAATAACCACTTCTGTCCGTCCTTCAGTCTAAGGTTGATAGTGACCTCTTACTTTTGCTGGTATCTGAGTTTTATTCTGTTTGGAATTCAGTTTTTCTCTTACCAACAGGTTACTTCCATTTGCTTTTGCTTTCAGATATTTAAGAATTTTCACTTTCCTTGTTGGGAAACCTTTCCTAACTGGCACAGGCTTATGTGTTAAGTATGTGTCACAGCTGAAGTATTAGTTATATTTGCATAATTGTATAACTTGATCTGTGTTGTCTCCAGCAGAATCTTTTGTTATAAGTACCTTGATAGGTTTGGTTCTGTATATTTAGTATGTATGTTGGTAAGACCAAGTCTAACTGTCTAGACATCAATCTCCAAGTACCTTACCAATTTTTCTTCCAGACTGCCATGGTTTTCAGCATAACTTTTAGTTATGCTTTGATTTCTTTTCTCTTTCCCTGAATGTATCCCAACTCCTTTAAGGAAATAAAAATATTTAGGATGAGGAAGTCTACCAAATGAGATTTATTAATTAATATTGCTTCTGTAAAGAGCTGATTTTTCAGTGTGAGAATCTTAATTTACAATTGTAGTACCCAGTGATGTATTTTCTTTCTGTCAAGAGTAAAAACACCAAAAGAATGCCTCATGAGTGTAGTTCAGCATAGCTGAAATAAATGATTTGATAAGACTTAAAATTGAACTATTTTCATTTTGTTTTTAGTCTTGGACAATTTTAGAAGCATTGTTGGGTAGTAGTGAATATAAATCTACATTTCCAGATTTCTCTACATATTACTGACAGTCTGTACAAATGATTTATAAAAGGGCTTTCTGAAAAACTGTAATTCTAAGTAGAACATTTGAGTTCTAAATACATAGGCCAGGTGCCTAGGAGTTGGCATTTTGGTGTGTTTACTTAAGGCCACATGCCAAGCAGGTCGAATTTGGTGTGCCTATTTAACCATTTGCCATTTGCAGTCTTAATCTTATCAAAAGGAAGAGAAAGATTAAAGCAAATAAAGCTTTTTTGAAAATGTCAGTCTTTTATGAAAACTTTGGTTTAGTTCAGCTTGATAACATTTGAGAATACAGTAGGGACTCAATGAAATTTTAACCATATATTATATTTTATAATTGGTT